GCTCTTCGCGAGCTCTAGTTAGACGTCTAAGTATAATCGAGGCTAACAATTTAGAAACTATATTAGTTAAACTTATTCCCCTGTGATTGTCACAAGAGGGCTTCTGTCCTTTCTTTTAGATTGGGACAATTAGCGACTGAGACCAGTCAGATGGGATTACGTCCATTTCCCAGATTCTACCTAGGATCTCGGTCAGTCTAACCGTTAAAATTGGACCACCATACTTAAACATCTCAGGGGTAAGCCTGTCGGGACCTGCCGCTCTACCTCTCCTTAGATTTCCTATAGCTTTCTCAACTTCACGTAAACTGGGAGGACTTAAATCGATTTGCCATTCAGGGTGACTGGGGGTCGTGGGCAACCGAAGTGTGGCTGAAGGGAGGTTGAACGGATCCCTAAAGTGTTCTGCCCATCGGTCCAATCTCCTGGATTAAGAATGGATAATAAGACCATCCTTTTCCGAGATAGTCTCACTCACATTCGGGTTCCTAATACCGGTTTCTTTGGTAAGGCGGAAAAGTTGTCTAGTGTTGCCGATCGCCGCTGCCTTTTCCATCGCTTTTGCTTTCGCCACCCACCACTGTTCACGGTCGTTACGTAGGCTTTTTATAAGTCTGCGCCTAAGTTGAGTACGCTCTTCATCATGTTCAGAGTCAGGTGGGATGCGTTTTCGAGTATACATCAGTTCGGTGGATGCGACTGATATCCACGGCTTCATCCTAGCCTTATGGTTTACCTTGCTAGCAGATACCATTGCTGTTTCCACAGCCTTCTTGATATGATTCCAACCTGCTTCAGGATGGGAATCACTTGCATGGCCGCCTAACTGTTTTTCTAGTTCCTCCTGAAATATTTTCTTAGCTTGATTATCATCAAGTAAAGCCCTAAGAGGCTTTCTTACGGTGTCTTTCCTACGTCCAGCAAGCCTCAAACAAATACGTGCTCGCACTAGGGCATGATCTGAATCTAAACATGTGCCCCAGAACGAGCGACAGTCCTCTATCGAACCCCTCCGTCGGTGGCTGATGGCGATATGATCTAGTTGTGTCCAACGTTGAGACGACTTCGGGGGTCGCCAGGTCAAAAGGTGTTTTTCCTTATGCTTAAAATTAGTGTTTGCTAGAAATAGGCGGTTATCTGAGCACAGTTGCAACAGACGGTCGCCATTGTCTGTTCTTTGAGCCGCGAGACCGTAACATCCACCTAGGTGTCTTTCATTTTCACTTAGTCTACCTACTTGCGCATTAAAGTCACCAGCCATTATAACTATATCAGAGCGCTTAACTTTTTGGAGAAGGTCCGAAAGCTTTCTGTAAAACTCATCTTTTACATCATCTGGGCTGCAGTCAGTGGGGGCGTAGGCTGATATGACGAAGAGGCAACGACGAGTGTCCCTATCTTTCCGAGTCCTTACTGTCCCGTTGAGTCGGACGGCGCACAAGCGACTATCTACGCGGATCCAGTCAAGGAGAGATTGTTCTGCCCTACAACTCAATGCTATACCTACACCGGCGAGGCCCCTAGAAGCAGCATCAGGGCTACCAGATACACGAAGGGTAAATCGAGCTGCTTCTTTATCTTGACATGGTGAGGTCAAATGAGTGATGCTACTCGGATCCTGTATGCGCGTTTCCGAGACGCAGCACACATCGATGGAACGAGATTCTAAAGTCCTAGCTAATGATGCCTGTTGCCCTATTTGACACAATGTCCGTACATTGAATGCTCCAACATGTAGTTTGGAACGGGGTTTAAGGAGACCAGGAACGACGTTTCGCAAACTCGCATCGTTTGCATTAGCTGTGCACTGTAATAAATGAATGTGAGAAGAGTTAGTTGTGGAGATAAGAGAGGTATTAGGGGGTGTAGGAAGGATTTGATTTTGAACAATTTGGTCTCGCGTGCTGTTACGGGTATGAGGGCGGTTATAACTTCCCGGCTGCCCACACTGTGGAAGATTGTTTCTTGACGAACCTGAAAAGGAAGATAGATTAGTGTTGGTGCGTGGCCGCAGGGTCCAAGGGACAACTGCTTGAAGCTGGTCACGCACGGCCTTTTTATGAGACGTTGTTTGAGGATTAGCTCCGCTCTTAAAGGCCCTTAGTGGACACCCTTACCCAAGGAGACGGAAATCCGTGAGGTAGGGGAGGTGTGACTTTTAGGGCCGACCTTTTCTAACCCTTCCTTCCTTGTGAGAAGGCAGCATCGCTGCAGATGCTGGTTGTCCGAGGGAAACACCTTACTGCTCTCACACCCCTCTGCAGTCAGCAGTACGACTTCGCCCTCAGACCTTGGGTAGCTGCTTTTAGTCTCGTCGTTCTCCAATCGACCTGCCTGGCATGGTAGGACCTGCAGGAACATATGTTCCAGCCAGTATAGCTCGGTTGGGTCATCACGATAGGCAAGCCCGACCACCACGTCAAGGTAGCAGCTTCGGTCGGGACATTTCAAATTATTATTTAGGTTACGGAAAACCAATGTGAGGTGACACCGCCTTTCATAGTAAGATTCAGAGAAAAGTCTTAAACGCTCTACGCGCTCTATAAACATCATTGGCAGACGAGCCGCTATCTTGGTCTAGAGTCAAATCTCTCTCTCAGTAAGTTTGCTAAGAATTAATGTTGATTCCGAAGCCTTACTGCTCAGGAGTTAAGTAATTTTACAATTCTGCGTAAATAAATAATTTAACTTTGCCACTATATGTAACTACTTTGCTGGTTAGACTGAAACGACGGTAGGTAAAAATTGTCTTTCCTCTTCCTTACTTAAATATAGTACATTCCTCTCGTCTCTTAGGAGCTGAGCCTCGAAAAGGGACACGTTGAACAGAATTGTGAGTAATTTCAAAGTAGAGTACGTGACAGGTGATTGCAGTTCTGGGTGTGATCCATCAGGATCCAGTGACTTACCAGGTTTGGGGTTATCGACAGATTGGAAAACAGCTTCTCCGGTCACATTTACTGATCCCATAGCTACTATCTCAGTGATGTAATCGTATGAAATGTTGTTAAAAATATCTATGGAATCGATCTTGCTGAAAATGGTAAAATCGTAGCTTAGGTCACATTTGATTTGGCCAATATGTAGAATCTATTTTGGAGGTTTTGTTTTTGGAAAATCCCTCCATGTATATATATTTGCGTTATGATATGACTGACTGTTTCTGTTGATATTTTGGTACTCTACTTGATTCCATTTTGAGATTTTATCATTGTATATTGTTATTATTTCTATATCTTGTACTTATATTGAAGTTTTTATGTTTCCTTCCGAACTGTACATGTGTTGTTTAAATTTGATATTTAATATGGCAACAGCCATTTTTGGATTTGATACTCAAGCAGTAACGGACTGGAAGCACTTATTCTTCCAGCAACGGAACCTATTGTGGTAATTAAAAACTCGAAGGTGTAATATTGTTTTTGGTAATCGTGTGTATTTCCCTTTTTAATCAAAATAGAACCGTTTTCTCCCAGAATTATTGCTTTTGGTCCTGGAATGGATGAGACGCGTATGAACCTACACTATTCGAGTTGGAGCGAACTGCAAGAGTAAATATAACTTTATACAATGTATTTCATTTTCCGTGCAACAGTGATGAATGGACGCCGTCACCGCGTTTCGTTCTCCGTCTAATACGCGGAAAGAATCTTTTTTTATAAGTACGGCTATCGTATGCAAAACGTTCTTTGTAAGTGACGAGGCATCTATTAACGGTCTCATTCGGTATTTACATTCAAATTAAATGTGGCCTGTCAACAAGAACAAGTCCTAGTAGTGTTTTCTACTGCGACATAAATTTCGAGTTTCTCTACTAATGCACAGCGAGAGATGTTCTCTTCTAATTGTTGACCATAGGATGATCGATAATGTAGCATCCGCCACTGTGTCTTCATACGATTTCCGTTCGCTATCGACTTATCTATCCACATTGACCGACTTATCTGTTAAACCCGCACAGTCCCTGCTCGCCCGGATGTTAACCTGCCAGAACATGCACCTGAAGTTGTAAACGCTGAATAATCGCGATTCTGCGCGATGAAACAAGAATCAGCCTCACTGCAGCTACAGATATAACTTAAGACGTAGTCATCAGGAAGATAATGTTAAGTTTGGCATATCCCTGCTTTTGTAATTACCCTGTGTCTGATTTTGACTCCTCATGGAGCCACTCTGTGATCACTGCTGGTCCTAAGTCCGGATAAAGGAGGAGGGTTAGGCGCAGGGTTAGCGAATCCATCCCATAGAAAACTAAGTGTCTACATATGACTGTACAACAAACTTTGGATATTTTAGGTTCCTCATGCACCAAGTTATATACAAAAGTAGTCTCTGACAAACAATATTATGGCCCCTAATTTGCAATTTGTAACCTCCTAACTCCTAAATCATAAATGAATACTTCACCGACAATCCACGTTCCTGTAACGATGATTATATTCGGACATAATCCATCTATTGATTTATTTCTAAGAATAGAAGCGTTTAAAAAGTACAAATTCAGGATAATTAGAGGCTTCAGAAGTATTCGTTCCCAAGAACGGCTTACACGAAAACCCTGGACCTTAACGTTTCACATAGCTACTCTATTTCGAGCTTTTAACTCGGTGAGCGTAGTCTTTCACCGAATTAGATCTGCACGTCATCAATTCAATCGGACACGAAATTTGTGTGCCTTATTTAGTACAACATTCCAGTGCTCGTTATTTCCGAGTATACAGTGTATACGGGAGCATAGAGCGCACAAACTATAAAATTCTCCTTGTGAAATTTGAAATAAACAAATATGGTAAAAAGCACTTCACAAAAGCATTAAATATGAGTTAAGACATCACTTCTGATGTGATAAATGAAATTAAAATCTAATATCTCAAAAAGTGAGAAAATGCAATGATTTTTTTCGAGTAATGAGCTCCCAGGTGTTACCTTCAAGCGCCTTGAATGTGCGCGTGCTTTAACGTAAAATGTGCTTTGCGCGTTACAGGTGATTACCTGGGGCTATGAACGCGTTAATGGACAATTCTGTAAGAAAACTATTCAGTTATCACCGTTCTTTTCCCTCTGATGGGCTATTGTTGACTCATTATTTTCCTTCCAGAATTACAGGAACGAAGCTAACAGCTGTGGTATTTTAAGTGCCACTTCGACCTCTGAAGGTGCGTCTTTCTAGGTTTTCAAAATGTAGTCTTTCTGATTGTCCTTAACATACATATTCATCACCCAAAATTTTTTGACGTTTTTATTTCGATACGTGGAGCTTCTATTTATGTTTGACACCGATTGATATTTGATTTCACCCGAAAGCACTGTATTTTTGTATTTATTAACTAATATTGAATCTTATTCAGTGTAATATCTTGTAGCATCGTCCACAGACTCTGAGTCGTCTATAATTGTTAAGGTACACGTATGAAGTTACTTTTCAGATTGTCAAGCGTTCCACTTTTCATCAAATAATTCTATTTTCCGTCACTTAAATGGTTTAACTACTTTATCAGCTCATGATTTGCATAGTTCGTTGTGTCTTAACTTAATAAATCCCAATGCGATGTTATTCAAAGCACATAAATTCTACATGGCCTCTCATGTTCGGTCTTTAGAGAAATAACCTGACGAAGTCCGAACGACATTTTAGCAGTAACCTGCCAATGTATGTGAATACCATGTTCTACGTTGCAACTAACGATTTTATATATGGCATGTTATTTGACGTATGCCTCGGATGTCTCATATGAAGCCTGACACTAGTTTGTGTTTATAATTGGCTACTACATTTACATGCTTTCACTTTCGCAATGTATATGTTAATCGCAATATCTCTACTGTAGTGAAGAACTTGGATATTTTCGCACAAAGTTTGCTTTATAATTTGATATCGCCTTTTGAACTCGTTCATATACTAGCCATGGGTTCACTTCTTGCTCTCATTTTTCTAGCTGGAATCAGTTACGGTTTAGTTATACAGCCTACAACATAATCCTCTGAGCTCATGACATTTTTACAAAACAAATACAAAACTCAGAAATTAGTGGCTTTATATTTTGTCCGCGGGGGGGGGTTAAGGTCTTTACCTGAAGTGGCTTTCTAATTACTGCACATTGTAAGAATTATCACAAAATAATACCAGTTGCCACCAACAATTTGCATGTGAGCACTTTTGTCAAAACAAATCTCTACATCCTATCGGCTTAGTCACTTCATTATGGTGCTTAAATCAGCCCTTAACTTTATTTCATCATGGTTTTTGTCAGTAGTTCCGTACCCACAAACGTTCAAACACAAGCTCTTGTGATTATTTCTGAAGAACCATGGCTTCACTAAACCGCTGATTAAAACGCCACTTCATCCATTTGCGACCAGGACTTGTCTGTAGGTCTAATATACTTTGTAGAATCTGAGACGAATATCCGTTTATTTTAGCACAATCAAAATTCTAATACCCATCATCTCGTGTTAACAGTCTATAAATAAACAAATAAAATCAGTGGGCTAAATACTGTGTCCGTAATGTTTAGAAAGAAGAACAGTAAATGCATCTATACTACTGCATTTGATTCTTTCGTATACTAAGTAGTCTCTAACACTAGATTATGATCATCCGGTAAACAGGAAACCTACCCGTAAGATGACTAGTGCCAATAGTACAGTAACTTCATAGACTAGTGCTCTGAAGCTCCTCAGCAATCGATTAGCTACGTCTGAGTACTTTTGATATGCAGTGAATTTAGGAGATCAGGAGATAAATATGTGCGTACTTATTGTTCTAATCTTATACAACCTCTCTACTCGAACACTACAGGTCGAGCTTATGTCGAACTGTCATCGGAATTCTTCACTTCAAGGGATGTCCGTCAGGGATGTCCACTTTCCTCATTCATGATTAATTTTGTCATAGACATGTTCCTAGATATATTCTTATCCTCGTCTGAATTTTCAGGAGTAACCTATCAAGGAAATCGCTTGTTGACTTAAAATATGCCGATGACATAGAACTACTTGGTGAAGTCGCTGACAAAATGCAGAGTCTTCTAACCACCCTCATCAACAATCCAAGCATGTTCGGGATGCGATTCTCACCCTCAAAATGCAAAATGTTGCTTCAGGATAAGCTTACATCGGCACCTGAACTAGTGATAGGGAGTGAAGCAGTTGAGCCTTTTGACCACTTCACTTATCTGGGGAGTCTTCATCAGTGCTGATGGCCTGGTGACTGATGAAATCTAATCACGGATACATCAGGTTCGACTGGCTTTTGCCAACTTGCGTCACTTATGGTGCAGGCGAGATTTCCGTTTGCTGACTAAAGGACGAGTGTAATGAGCAGTAGTTCTCTCCGTCCTACTTTATGGCTGTGAAACATGGTCAGTCAGAGTAGAAGATATTCGTAGGTTACTTGTTTTCGATCATAGGTGTCTTCGAAGCATTGCTGGTGTATCATGGGACAATCGAGTAAGCAATGTTGTCGTTAGGAAACGGGTGCTAGGTAAGGATGGCAGGTCAATAGATGAAGTAGTGAAACTTCATCAATTGAGGTGGTTGGGACATATGTTACGAATGCCTGACCACCGACTGCCTCGTCGAGCTATATTTTGCGATGTAGGAATAGTTTGGACGAAAGCTAGGGGCGGCCAGTCAAAAACATGGCAGAAGTCCATGAAGTGACTGACAAATGGACTGAGCCATTTCGGTAGGTGTTGACTACCTGGTTAATAATAATCGATGGTTACAGACCCTGAATAACATGGCTCAAAACCGTTCAAAATGGCGCACGTCCATCCAATCTTTGTGTTCTCTCAAATCCTTATCTTCAGAATTCCTCATCACCTGTATCTTTCCTTTTCTAAATTTATCTCACTTAATGAATTGTACTTCTTGAATAATATCTTCGAATCCTACTCTCTCCGATTACTGTTAATACGTTTACTCTGTCTACTACTATGGGACTTGAACTGACAATTGCGTCTGTGTACGAATGTGGTATGGCAACATGAACTGATGTACTTACGTACGTACGAAGTTCTACGTTGCTGTTGATTGATTGATTGTACATATTGTTTCACTTTTTGTTTGTTTTATCTTAACTTGGTCTAAGGTTTTTGTCAACGATTTATTTACGTAGATCCCACCTATTAAACGCCTTGATATGACAGAATGTAGGCTAGAATTACTAAAAACGCTTTATAATTTCATTTCTCAAAACCAATGCATATTATTTAGAGATTCCAATTTGCCTCTCAAGTTGGAGAATTTGCTGTTTTGTGTTTATGTGGATGTTTGTTTCACATAATACTGATCTGTAAGCTTCTATTTAAACTGTTATGGATGAGAACATGTGAATGTTTTATTTGTATGTGAAGTTACCTAATTTTTACCATTATCTTGGGTTTCATAACTTTCAAATACAATCTTATTTCCACCTATTAGATGATCAGCTGAGTTTATGTTGTCTATGTGGTCAGACGTTTCCGAATATCAAGTCCCTTCATATTCACATTAATGTTGTGCACAAAGGTAAGCTTATTCAGTGAATTTCAAATTTGGTTCGGCATCATTTTAAAGTAGTGATATGACAAAGATTCATTGTCTCATGATTCTTTATTATCTTCAGCTTTCATGTGTCCAATCAAATTGTGATAATAGTCTACTGTGCTAAGCATTCATTAATTATTGTTTAGATCTAAATTTTGCTTCAAGCACTTTCATTCAGGTACCAAAGTGGCAACTGACAGCCTTTTTATTCTAACATAACTTGATTACAAAAATAGTTCGTCGTACTCTTTGTATTTTTATTTTGCAAATTTAATTACTATATCTTGATAGAATAGTTTAGTGTATGTTAGTCGTTTAGTTGTCCAACATGAGCACATATATGTTAGTCCAGTCATTTTTTGCAACGAGTTTAACTAGATGTTATTATTACATCTGCCATGAATCTCTTTGTGTGAAAATGCTTTAGAAGTCCAAGAAACAGATTCTTATCCTGGTTAACAGTATATATTTGTTGTCTGTCAAGTACAGCGTTTCTATCGACATTTTCATGTGTACATAAAACTTTCCTCTAGTTCTGATTACGTGTAAGAGGTAGTGGTGTTAGATAAATGTTGAGAAAAAACTTGAGAATCTTTAGTATCTGTCATAGACTAGCTGGTGCATCCAAGCGGTCTGTCCGCACATAACTTACATTCATGCTCAAAGTGGTGAGACACGTGAGTTCAGTTTTAAATCACCACCCTTGCTGATTTTAAAGCTGATTACGGTGTAAGCAGTAAAAAAATAAAAAAGTAGTATGCGTACATTTCTGTTATATATATATATATACAGAGAGCAGTATTACTCAACATACAAGTAAAGTTTCAGAAATGAACCCCCATTAAGACAAGATAAGGAAACAGTTCCCCCACATAGTTGGAGTATTTTCACAAAATTAAAGGAACCAATTCAGATATTCATTCCATATAAGGGTTGGCTACAGATTTCGAGTTCACTTATTGATGTTGGGAAACGTAGTTTCCGAACCGATAGTACACGTTGCTTCATAATCCTGTTAGAATTTGTGACATATGTACCTATTTTGGCCACATACCATTCTGACGATGCCTCTTTCAACACTACCTGATTGCTATATAGGTAGAATAATCAGGCCCCAAATCTTTTCATCTAACGAGCCAAAAAGCCAGTCGATATAAAAAGAAACTGACAACAAATATGATATCCTTTTTTATCGCTTTCTATGTCCTAACAAAACCCAGTTAGTGAGTTACAACGTAGAACTTCGTACGTACGTAAGTACATCAGTTCATGTTGCCATACCACATTCGTACACAGACGCAATTGTCAGTTCAAGTCCCATAGTAGTAGACAGAGTAAACGTATTAACAGTAATCGGAGAGAGTAGGATTCGAAGATATTATTCAAGAAGTACAATTCATTAAGTGAGATAAATTTAGAAAAGGAAAGATACAGGTGATGAGGAATTCTGAAGATAAGGATTTGAGAGAACACAAAGATTGGATGGACGTGCGCCATTTTGAACGGTTTTGAGCCATGTTATTCAGGGTCTGTAACCATCGATTACTATCATCTCGCAGACCCCAATCAGGTAGTCGACACCGACCACCATGACTCAATCCAGTTGTCAGTCACTTCATGGTTTTTTGCAATGTTTTGATTTGGCCGCCCCTAGCTTTCCTCCAAACTATTCCTACACCGCAAAATATAGCTCGACGAGGCAGTCGGTGGTCAGGCATTCGTAACATATGTCCCAGCCACCTCAACTGATAAAGTTTCACTGCTTTATCAATTGATCTGCCATTCTTATCTAGTACTCGTTTCCTAACGACAACATTGCTTACTCGATTGTCCCATGATACACGAGCAATACTTCTCAGACATCTTTGATCGAAAACAAGTAACCTACGAATATCTTCTACTCTGACTGACCATGTTTCACAGCCATAAAGTAGGACGGAGAGAACTACTGCTCATTACACTCGTCCTTTAGTCAGCAAACGGATATCTCGCCTACGCCATAAATGACGTAAATTGGCAAAAGCCAGTCGAGCCTGTTGTATCCGTTATGAGATTTCGTCAGTCCCCAGGCCATCAGCGCTGATGAAACTCCCACTACTATGGGATTTGAACTGACAATTGCGTCTGTGTACGTATGTGGTATGGAGACTTCAACCGATGTACGTACGTACGAAGTTCTACGTTGTAACTGCCTGATTGACTGTCGATATTTCGGAAAGTAGCAGTTTATTCACTCTGTCCTCTATATTTCGAAAGCTGTTATTACCCATCATTTATTTTCTATTATTAATAATCTGCATCCTTATTCCATATGATATTACTTTTGATTTTGTCGTTGCGACAAAATATTTCAAACCAAATCTTGTTAGATTTTGTGTGTGAGGTTTTACGTTGGCATCCAATTTTTTCCTTTCATGTTCATTATAAGTGATATATCCTAACTTTTGGTATAAATTTAATGTTAATCTAACTCATTTATCAAGTAAATGATATGTGTGCAATACTACGCCTCGATAAGTGTCAACACTATTGATACCATTCTTTTGTGCAAACAAAACTACTTCGAATGGGGTTCGAACTTACAAAACAGTCAAAAGCCTAGCACCTTAAATAGTATGTTGCTACTGCTTGTTTTCATCAAATAATATAAAACTCTAATCTAACTGTCCCATCAATTACTGGGTGTAATTTTACGTCAGCTAGGACGTATGAAACGTAACGTTCATCGGAACATATTCAATAACTAGTTTTGTAGAAATCCTGATCATTTTCTTTGATTCTTTTAGAAGTGGCGGACTCTTTCGATTTTCACTTAACAGGTGGCGAAAACGACGACTCTTCTTCAGTAAGTTAAAACTCTTGCAAAATGTTTCAGAAAGAATGCTACATGTGTCTTTTCTTCAAAAAAGAACTGTATTTTATACTGTTTGTTGAATGTCTGTAACACTATCTCTTTTAAAATTTCATTATATCTGTATGGTGAATATCCAAATTAAAGACAGTAAAAAAATCACAAATTCTAATCAAATCTAATCTTAGTTTTATGAGATATACAGAGATATGTTATTCGTGGTCAGATAACTGAACTCTAACGTGTTTCTTATAATGTCATGAATGATATGAGTTCAAGTGGTAATTAAAATACTGAGACAAGGAGGTATGTGTATCCATTTCCTTTATAGCGAAACAAGAGGAATATGGACTAACTCAGTGCGGACGTGCCTGGCTGATTTCATAAGTTTGAGTTCTAGATGTAATTCAGTTTCATCGGTCCCATATATTTGTACAGAGGCCATAAAGACAGAAATAGACAGACAGACAGACAGATACAACGCAGAACTTCGTACGTAAGTACATCAGTTTAGGTTGCCATACCACATCAGCGAAGAGACGTAACTGTCAGTTCGAATCCAACAGTGATAGCAAAAATAGAAGTATTAGCAGTAATGGAGAAGATTAGGGAGCGAAGATATGATTCGAGAAGTATAATTCAATGAGATAAATTTAGAAAGAGAAAGATAGAGATTATGAGGAATTCAGAAGCTTAGAATTTCATAGAATACAAAGAGTGGATGCACCTGCGCCATTGCAAACGATTCCGAGCCATGCCATTCAAGGTCTCTAACCGTTGGTGACTTTCGTCTTGCGGACCCCAACCAGGTAGCCTTCATCTACCAACATGACTCAGTCCACTTGTCAGTGACTTCATGGATTTGTGCCATGTTTTGGTTTGGCCACCCCTAACTTTTTTCCAACCTACTCCTACACCACAAAACATAGCTCGTCGCGGCAGTCGGTGGTTAGGCATACGCAAAATATGTCCCAACCATCTCAACTGATAAAGCTTCACTGCTTCATCAGTTGATTTGCCATCCGCACCTAGAACCCGTCTAAGCATAATCGAGGCTAACAATTTAGAAACTATATTAATTAGACTGATTCCCCTGTGATTGTCACAAGAGGACGTTTGTCACTTCTTATAAATTGGGACAATCAAGGATTGGGACCAGTCAGATGGGATTACGTCCAGTTCCCAGATCCTACCTAAGATCTCGGTCAATCTAGCTGCTAAAACTGGACCACCATCCTTAAAAATCTCGGAAGTCAATCTATCGGGTCCTGCTACTCTCTCTCACTTCAGATTTCCTATAGCCTTTTCAACTTCATAAAGGTTCGGAGTGCTCAGGTCGACTTGCCATTCAGGATGACTGGAGATCGTGGGTAACCGAAGTGTGACTTGAGGCCATTAGAACTAATCCCTAAAGTGTTCTGCCCATCGATCCAATCTCCTGGATTGAGAATAAATAATAGTCCCATCCTTTTCCGAGATATTTGCACTTCCAGTAGGATTCCTGCGATAGTGATTTTGTAGGATTTTATTTTGGTAAAATAATGTTCACCACAACTCCAGCAAATAAATGTTGGAGTTTCCTTCAACTTTATAATTGATGTGTGTGGTGTATCCAGAAGGCTTATAATTTGTTTTACATAAACTCCGGAACTATCTTACCGTCTAGATTATACCACCGTAGTGTTATGCTTGAGGTAATTTACCCATCATTATTCGACATTAAAATTAAACCTACAGTCATTACTAAACGACTCAGCAATATAGTACTGATGTCGGAAAATTTTACAGATTAGTAGTATCAAGCGACATAAGTAGTTCATCAAAAGGCTTCCAGGTTTGCTAAATTCAACTCATCAAAATGGTAGGCAATCTAACCTTATTTTTTGTCTTGCGCAGCTTAAGAATCTGCATTTTTTTGTTGTTACTAGGCTTTAAAGTCTTTCATAAAACTAAAAATGTAGTTTGTTATCATTAGATAGCCGTTTACTAGGATACTGACAATATCATATAAAATCCCTGTTTTTAACAGTTTCAGGAGACAAATAATATTCTTATATAGTATTGTTCGTTGCATCAATTCACATCGAATAACAACATCACTTTATGTAATATGTAACAATTTTATTATTTATATTCCCTACTTACAGGTCACTTTAGAATCACGGATCTCTCCGTTGTCTGGTAGTAAAGAATTTGTTTCCAGTAAGTAACTTTTGACAAATAGCCAAAAGTTGTTCGACGTGCTCTTTTTTATGATGCTAAAATAAAAATAGTTTCTTATCACAGAATCCCAATTCTTCAGTATTATTTATTGGTTATAAAGTTGTTAAAGTCACCTAATAAAACTTTCTTTTCTCTTGCTATTATTGTCTTCAATACTTAAAATTCTATGAAGTTCTAAGTCAATTTCAATGGCTTCATTAATATCAATTTATATTGATATGTGGTGGATTCTTGTAGAATAAGTGTTAAATATAAAAATCCTGTTTGCATTTTATGTTTGTCTACTGTAAAGCTATAAAATCATCACTATCAAAAATGGCTTTCTAAGTTTTATGCAGCTGGAAATTTATTTGGTACCAAATCTCCTATTTAATAGTAGAAGAATTGTTCTTATGAAATATATATATATATATATATATATATATATATATATATATATATATATATATATATATATGAAATATATATATATTTCCCTCGTCAATATTTTTCCCTACTGTTTATAATTATTCGAACCTAGGATGACAAATCTGTTCAGGATCTAGATGACTGAACAACACATTTCTGTTTCAGTTTGTTCAAATTATGAAAATATGTTTACACTTTAATCATTCTAATTATGTCCTCTTTACTTCAACATTCAGAACCTGCAACTTCAGTTGTTTGTCCAAATTGTAAAAAGCTGTTTTCTGGTCTCACAAGTCTGCGAGTTCATATAGATTCTGTACATCATGGTGAGAGTTTATATAATTGATTGACTTCGCTGTTTATTTTGAGCGTAAATAACTAACTGGTTTATAGATTAACGAAAGTACAGCATATTTGATTATAGTTTTCTCTGAAAACTAAACTATTGAAAAATGAAGCCTATAAAATAATATTTTGTTCTAGTTTGATGTATTATCACATAGTTTATGCTGGAAATTATAATAGATATTTATAATTCAATTTATAATTACTTCTCTAGTATATAAAACTGTACTCATTGAAAGCGAGAAACGTTTTTTATCCCGAAATTCCAGGCAACTCAATTTAAAACAAAATTTCTTAGTTTCTAGTATTTTTCTAATTATATTAAGGGACCAACCAAAATAGTATTACTCATCGGACAACAATTGATTAATCAGTACTAAAAATGATGGTCATAAAGAAACTTTTGTATTTTTTGTCGTTCTATTTTGAAGTAATTAATTATAAAATCTAAAGTGTATGTGACATTCTTTCAGAACTCATCAGTTGAGTGCGCCTACATTTCATTAGTGTGCTACTCAGCAATTATGGATTACACTTTCTAATGTGGGGGTTAATAATACTACCTGGTTTCCCAACTCATTCTTCATGTTTGTTTTTTTACAGACTCAATACCCATTCCGTCAAACATCTGATTGTAATCTACCCAGCTTCTGGGTTAGTATGCCTACATCCTATTCCAATGGTATTTCTAATTGCTACTTTCTTTCTTTGTTCAGCACTACTTCTGTCAACTTCAGTCGTGTACTTTTATAGTACAGTTGACATAAATCAGAACAAGAATAAGTTTGAAACCTGGTGTATTTCCGATGAACTTGAACAACAATCTGCAATAATAAAAATTTACTTAATTAACTAATACCGTCGATAAAAGCACATTCTGGGAACGAGCTTCAAAGCATTACAACGATTCTCTAACCAGTTCTTAGCTAAGTAGAAAAAAGTTATTAAAAATTGATAGCTTTTGGAAAAGAAAGAAAAATTATTGTTAAGTGTAATACGTTTGTAATTAATGGATCTATTAATATTTCCCACAGATTACTCTGTCTGCAAATCGAATAATTATTGATATATAGGCTCGCCTTTCTGGATATTGATTATCAGTCTCCTTGAATCCTTATACGGACTCAAATTCTTATTAGTCCTTATGTTTCCCACAGTTAGGGTTAGATATTTAAGGTTGACATCAGCTGTAATGTAAAAATATCCTTTGACCATGTGTATGAATGGATTTCTGGCGAGGCTTAAGTGACCCTGAAAAGGTTCACCTGTTCAAAAAAGGATTTAGAACTGGAATTTGAAGTTAGGGGGCTTTATCGCGAAACGACAGCTCTAATGGTAAAATCCTATTTAGGCGTATGAATGAATGAATTTTGCGCCCCAATCCAAGACTTGCTATCGTAAGGCTCATTGGTTTTTCATAAATTGAATTTCGTTCAAAAATATAAGAGGCGTTATCTAACAAGTTCACCCATAAAATGTAATTCCGTCAAGTTAAAGTTCGTTTCAAGATTAAGTGTTTAGGGTTAGGATATCTGATAACTGAATATTGTCTAACGTATACAAATTGAAAGCACAGAATTAATCTTTTGATACATTAAACACTCATTTTTACTTCATAGTCAGTCAGAGTCAGTCAGATGAAACGTAGAACTTCGTACGTAAAGAGATAAATTTAGAAAGAGGGAGATAGTGATGATGAATTCAGAAGGTTGGAATTTGAGAGAACACAAAGAGTGGATTCACCTGCACCATTACAAACCATTTTGAACCATGTGATTCAAGATCAGGCTGAAACATACTCCACTAATGTGATTGTGTCAGACAGTCAGTCAGATGCAACGTAAAACATCGTACGTAAGTACATCAGTTCGTGTTGCCATACCACATCAGGACAGAGATATAATTTTCAATTCAAATCCAATAGTAGAAGAGGTAGTAAAGGTATTAGAAGTAATCGGAGAGGTTAGGATTAGAAGATATTATTCAAGAAGTATGATTCAGTGAGAAAAGTTTAGAAAGTCAAAAACTAGAGGGGTTGAAGAATCCAGAAGATTAGGATTTGAGAGAACACAAAGAATAAATGCACCTGCGCCATTGCGAACGGTTTTGAGCCATGTCATTCAGGGTATCTAACCATCGATTGTTATCATCTCGCGGACCCCAACCAGGTAGTCGACAACTACCGACATGGCTAAGTCCACTCGTCAATGACTTCATGGATTTGTGCCATGTTTTGGTTTGGCCACCCCTAGCTTTCTTCCAACCTATTCCTACACTACAAAACAAAGCTCGTCGAGGCAATCGGTGGTTAGGCATACGCAGCACATGTCCCAACCACCTCAACTGATGAAGTTTCATTACTTCATCTATTGATCTGCCATTCTTAGCTAGCACCCGATTCCTAATTACAGCGTTGCTCACTCGGTTGTCCCACGATATACGAGCAATGCTTCGAAGACACCTATGATTGAAAACCAATAACCGACGAGTATCTTCTACTCTTACCGGCCATGTTTCACAGCCATAAAGTAAGACGGAGCGAACTACTGCGCAGTACACTCGTCCTTTAGTCAGCAAACGGATATCCCGCCTGCGCCATAAGTGACGCAGGTTGGCAAAAGCCAATCGAGCCTTCTGTATCCGTGCTGATACAGAAGGCTCGATTTACTTCATAATCCAATAAAGTAACATTTCGTCACTATTCTAAGCGTTTTAAGCAGCATACAAAGGTATTTTTGCTGCTCATTATACATTATATTTAAACTCTGCTCAAAGACAATTTTCTTTATGAATTCTGATCAACTTGCCTGTATGGTTTACTTTTTCTTTGTCTTCTCGATTTGTCCGTTAGCACCGATTGATTAGAAATGAACCAATTACTGCACTCAGATCCAAATTTGTACCGAATATGAAATTGATCAGTTTCTATCCGTCTAACTGTGAAGCAAATACATTACAAACACGAAAGTGATATAGATTATTTACCAACGACTAACAATTTTAATCTTACAAGGGGAAATTTATTTCGGTTCTCATCTCGCATTTTTATGTAGACTGTTGTGACAAAAATGTGATAAGATATCGTCAAAGACCACCACCCTTTTGAAAGAATAAACAATCTTAAATTTACAGTTGTTTCCTACAAAATCATCAATGAATCCTTGAAAAATTTTAATAAGCGACAACTATATAAAATATTCCATATTTTTCAATATTCGGGGTTTTTTTGAATTTTCATCGAATATACATTTCTTCTGCAGGATATTTCAAGATCATAAATCTGATTTTATTGTAAATATCTCTATCTATAGTCCATATTTAATTAAGTCTCGCAGAAATGTATCTTTAACTAAATAGATTTATTTAAACATTTGTCTGTTAGGTAATCGAACTCCTCAATGTGATTATTGCATGAAAAAGTTCTCTACCTTATCCTACCTTCGAATGCATGTTGCTACTGTTCATGAAGGTGAGTTATCATTTAAAATATTGTTAATTGTTTATCTTGCACCAAATGTAAGAAACGCAATGTTATATGCTGGTAATCTACAGTAGGAAATCTGTCAAACATGTTTATTGAATAAAAGGAAAATTATTGTACAGTTAGGATGTAGATTAACAGTAAAAAGAATTGGGGTTTAAGTTAAAATTATCGCTAATAATTTTTGGAAATCAACATTCTACCTAATTTTTAAACATTCCTGTTATTGATAAAGTGGCTTGATGTGAGTTATGAGGTAATTTATCACTCCCTCGATCTATTTGTTACTGTGTTGTTAGCTGTTTGCTGTAAAGACGAAACAATAATTGCATAGGCCTGTTCCTTTATGCTTTCCGCCTACCTGTCAACCACGGTATTTCCATCAGGCGAAGAAGTCCACGCTGTCGTACAGAAATTTGTAAAATCTCATCCATGTTGATGGCAAACAGTAGTTTTCGTTTTACCAATGTACCATGAACTCACTATTTTCACTAAGTATTCATCTTAACTCAATAGTTTCACAACAAGTTTTGTTATTTATCACTCTGTAATCCCACCATTAGAAACCTGGAAGCACTTGACGGCCGTTTTATCATGGTATGAGATTGATCAGCAGTGTGCATCCACGACCCCCCACTGGACTGATGTTATATCTTTTCTACAGCAAATGAATGACCTGGGTGTACTTCTTAAATGGCCTATCATTTCTTCATGGTCTATTTGATATAATCCAGATAGTTGACAGTTTTCTTTGATTTGTGCATCAAGATACATTGAAATTAAACCCTATTCACTTCATCTATACTAACTGTTCTTTCGCATTTTAGCTCAGATAATTCGTGTCGTACGTGCAAAACCTTGCATATAAATTAACAGTAATAATTAGTAGTTTTAGTTCCAACTGTTAATTAATTTCCATAAATATGTATAATCGTTTTGTCTTCTATCATGAGACCAAACCTCAGTATGAAATTGGTCGGTAATACCGCATGTGTTTGTATAATTTCACCTTTTAATGTAAATTAAAACTGTTCATGTTTGGCACCTTTCTCACTCCAGTAGTGATAGAAATAGTAATTGTAATAAGATTCCTCTTTTGTTTATCAAATTTCCTTGCTTTCTATTTAAAACATAACTCCTCAATGCAAGAAATTGGGAATGCGTTGTAAAGAAATTTGCCCGTGTTTCGTTTTCCTTGCTTGCTTGTACACATAGTTCCCAATTATTTGCAAGCATGTGTTTGAGTGTGTATATATTTATTTTTATATAACTGCCTACGCTGTTTACATACGTGATTGGTACTTACATTTGCAAATTAATGTTTTGTTAAATCATATCATACACCAAAAAAATATTGATTACGATCTATCATGATATACTAATTACAGGGTTATTAACATACTCACTTGATTGCTAAGGTATTACTATACTATACAACAGTTTTCTGCTGTACACTTGTGATAGATAACTATATTGAGATTGAAATTTCAGAAGAAAAATACAACATTGTGATAAAATACTCATTTTTGAAGTCGAATGATTGTCAAATCAATTCGTCTTTTGTAACTCATGCTCAATTCAATAAACCATTCATTAAGCCAGTGTTTCACTTTTATGGTAGAAGTATCACTAAACCTATTTTTTCTGATGAATCAATCTGTTTCCTACGCTCAGAATGGAGAACAACTCATCAAGCAGACAAGTTTTTATCACACAGTTCAAATTTATGAATCATTCATGCTATAATAGGGAGTAGAATCCTGACCACAAATCAATGGAATAAACATAACTACCTTATAAATAAAAGAGTACTAAATGATAGATCAGAAATAAGTTAATAATAATTTTGGAAACATAGAACGCTCAAAAATAATTACTATTTCAAACGAAAGTTTAGAAACTAGTTAAATTCAAGAATGTAATAGTTTTAGTATTTGACAACTGTACGTCAAAAATATAGATAATAACTTCAGATAGGATCATACAAAAATTTCACTTTTGCTTGATATATATATATCCCAAAGCAGCAGTTATACTGATATTTGACTTGAATCGTCATAGTCTTACACCGTATACATTTTGTTTAAGTGACTAATATAACTAATTTTTAGTTTTGTTTTTACAATGTTTTACAATCTATCAAAACATCTCTGTTCAATTCATAATCATTTAGTGCTTTGTTTATATTGCTTTAACAAAACGTTTTTATCATAGTCCTCATTGTTTACAACATTTCTTTTTATTGACGTCCAGGTGTTCGTGCTTATTCCTGTAATATCTGCGGAAAGAGCTACACTCAAAAGCATTCTTTGAAAAAACATCTCAGAAATTCTCATTCAGGTATGTTTTTACATTCGTTACATTATCAGTTTAGATGAAATACAAGATCTTAAAAAAGTGTATTCCAATCATTGCAAGCTAACGATACTACCCAGTGACCCAAACTTAGGTAGGTGGGCCGGAACTAGGATTTGGAGGGGCTTAGTGACTTAATGACGACCGCTGTATGGTACTCAGTTCATATTTTACTACATTGAAAAGAATAGTAAATGTTTACTACACAACAAATTTTCGTTCTTGGAAATCAAAATAACCGAATCACTGAGCATCTGTCTCATACAAGTACAAGGCTCCACATCATTGTGCATTCAAAACTCCCAGTCTCGCACGTGTATGCTTAACCTCTGAACCACTAAACCATATTTCTATGGTGTACACGGCTAACTTTAATTAATCCACTAAATCTCGTGACCATCTTTTATTGTCTTCAGAGAGTAGCTTCCTCACACTTAACACGGTTTAACCCCACTAGTTATGGCTTCTAACTAGAACTCTAGAAATTTCCTCTCGAATCTAATCACCAGTAAGCATATGATAATTAGCAGTATGCGGTTGTGAAGATTGTTGAATTTCATCAAAATCATCAGGTCGTGGATGCACAGCACTACTGAGTTCTATACTAGGATGACAGGGTCGTTTACTGCTTTCAGATTTCAAATGGTTATGTAACTGAAATCATGTCACGATTTCCATTATTTCGATGCTAAATACCATATCTCTTTAATTAGCCCCCAATACGTAATTGTTTTATGAAAATCGTACTTATACAAAAAAAATAAGATTGATGAAGCTAAGGAAGTGCTTAAACATGGTAAATTTTGTTTCGATAAACTTACGTTTTAAGAATAGTTTCAATCAACTAATGAACATCGTTTTCATAACGATAAACAGTTATTGTTTCCGATTTTAGAACTAAACCGAGGTCATGTTATTAGTACGTTATCATCGACTCAATTCAATTTTCGTTTCGCCTATATAAGCAGTTCATAATAAGATAGATCTAAATTTAAGTCTTATCTGATTATTTATCCTTACAGTTCTGTTACTAATATACAGTAGGTTTTATCATTCGAGAATTTGGTGGGTTGATCTTAGTAATGTCAAGATCTCTCTTCAAAATAGAATATTATCTGATACCATTATCTTTCTCGAATTCTTGACCTCTAAGCATGTACACGTTATGGTGCCGTAGACTCTCGTATTGCTTAGTTATTTGCCAGTAGTGTCCTTCTGAGATTTTTTAAATATATATACATATATTTCAATGCACCTTTCAATTATTAGATGTTACGTCCAAGAAACCTGGTCATAAGGTTAATATTAAGCATAGTTTCTGTATATTCTCTGAATAGTCCTCTTCTAATTGACATCTCTAATACATACTTAAACTAAACATTCCATTTCATTAAATTCCCTTCATGTGCATTCGCTTATTTTTCATAGACAATTCGCGTCTATTTTCCGTTAAACTGTGTTACCTTTTTATTTATAACCCAGAAATTTTTGATACAATAGAACGCTGAAAATGCGCTACATAATGCAAATCGATAACGTTATGAAGGGATAAAACTAGGAGCGTAAAAGTTGGTAGTTGCTTTCCTCAAAGACCCGATAATTTCAAAAACCACAATCATTGTCATCCTTTAATAATCATGGTGTTATCCAAATTTTCGACGTGTTTTAAGCTTCCTATCATTGTATCCGCAGCAAACGTTTTGCACAATATTCACAGTATAATGAAAGCCAATATTTTGATTGAAATTTAAAACAGACTTATAACTCAATAATTTTCATGTTTATTACGTAAGCTCTTTTTTTATCTGGATACAATTATTTCTTCATTCAGAAATAATGGAACACTTGACTAGTCAGATATTATCAAATAAGTCAGTGGATTCGTTGGTCACTTCTTTAAATGGGTCATTGCAGGTCATCTAAACACTGTAACTTAAAACACTTTAGGAATTATGCATAATTTTTTAAATAAATATCTACGATGATGCATACATTTCCATTTTTTATTTAGTTTCATTTAATCAAGGTATACTAGATGATACAACATCAGCTGGTGAGGTACAACAGTATACATCCAACCAGTCTATGTGTTCTAATGAAATGCGTGCTTTTAAATCACGTAAAAAGTTACTTGTTGATTCTCCAATTATGCCTAACTCCTCTAGTCCTAGTCCATCCAGATCAAATGAAGTAAGTCCTTGATTTCACCAATACAATTCAACTGAATCATTTGTGTTTTTGATTTCAATGTCCTTTTAATGTGCAAATCATTTCATCGTTATTTACAATCGTTTAATTCAAATCACTTTCAGTTTAGAAATATTATTGATGATGTATTTTAACGAATTTTCTTTGGCTTATTCAAACGTATTACTTTTTTGAGTGGAGAAGTATTTAGTCTCATGATTGTTCATTCGTGCCAGAATAATCATTGCTCTCTTATCAGATACTGACTTGAAACGACAAAATTAATAAATTACTTTTTTAAGTAGGCTTTTTTCAAATATATCGAGAAATGAATACATTGCCACTGAATAACTAAGCTACCAAACTTTTTGAATGTTTTGAGTGATAATGTTGAAATGTACGATGTGTATTTGCTACCAACATATGTCCATCCACCTGAGTGTATTTTGTTGTACAACTTACTTGAAACACATTACATGAATTTATTTCACTGTACTAATTACTCCATTTCTATAAGGTTTCATGACTCAACACTATTATTCATCATAACTTTCCGTAATCAGTTTTTACTACCTGTAATCAAAAGATTTTTATCAAAGTTTATCACATTTTTCAATCTCAGGTGGAGGGTCCTGTTTCATTGGAAACTAAAAATCACTAGATCATTTAATGCTATAAAGGTAAGTCGAAATAAATTTTTAATTCCTTAATGTTAGATTTGTGTATGATGTAATGGTAGTCTTGTCATACCATATAAAATTACATAATTCATATGATATTCTAATATACCTTTGTAATGTTTTCTGTTTGTTTTCATCTTATTCTTAAAACTATTGTAATAATCAGTAGTAGAATTGATATGCTTGCTAATAATTCTCAGAAGTGTCCATTTCCTACTCACATACTCATAAATTAACCAGTATTCAAGTCAAAATGTATTCAACACACTTAGAAGTATTGTATTTAAAATTTCAAATCAGACGTGGAACAATGTATAAAGTAATCATTAGAGTATACAAATACCAAACTTAATTTATGAGAGAATGGTCTTTTTGTTGGCTTGCCTAAAATATCTTGTCTGCCTATTTTCCTTACATCAAAATATTTCATAGAGTTACTTTTTTGTTAGTTGTAAAACAATAATAATGTCTATTAAACGCATAACTTGTCTGATAGTAACCATCCGCTCCATCCACATCATGTATATATTCTGGTAGAATAATACGCCAGTACATTAGAATCCGTGTACGCAAGCCAAAGTATAAAAGTTCTACGACACTTTGGCAAATAAACTATGCGATGAGCATGTGGTTAGAACTGACCTAGTCAAAAACTTATATTCTTGAACATGCTTCTGATTAAAAAATTGTATAGATTCTCATTGTATAAAAAACACATTTCATTTATACCCTAGATAATTTGTTTGCATAATTATTTTTTATGTCTGTATGGAGTGACTGGTTGTTATTTGTTGGCTTTGTAAGACCAACTCACTAAAATATTCTGTACTGAGAATTCCATATCGTACTGTCAGTCAGTCAGTCAGTCAGTCAGTTGCAACGTAGAACTTCGTACGTAAGTACATCAGTTCATGTTGCCGCACCACATCAGCACAGAGATGTAATTGTCAATTCAAATCCAATAGTAGAAGAGGTAGTAAAGGTATTAGAAGTAATCGGAGAGGTTAGGATTACTGTACATATAATATTAGTTGTTATCAGTAGTCTAACAAACTTTGTATTTTTTTTATGGCTTTTGCAAGTTTAAGGTTATTGATGGGATATCCTATTGAGTAATGAGTATGTACTTCATAATTGAGAATTGTGTAAACCCTAATCAACAAAAATCAAACTAATATAATTATAATCCACAATTGTATTTACAAAACAATATGGTTATGTATATTTTACTCATTTTTAACATGCAACTATCCTATAAGCTTTCTAAAATAAATGAGTACTAGGACAAGTGGTTTTCAGTTGTTTGTTGGATAGATATAAACTTGCCGCGTCGTATTCACCTTTTCGACCTTGAAGCTTGAAAGTCTATAGTTCATTTTTCAATTTTAGACGGTACTGATGGTGAACTGCGACCTAGCTGATTGCTACTACAATCTTACTTTTCCAATGGTTTTTAGTACTATTAGTTGTGCTTTTGCTATCTAGCTCTTCACTTGCATTAATTCTGGACATTAGCTGCATGATGCCTTGTCTTCACAATAATCCATGTAAATTATCTGCTCTTTTCTAGTTGATATCTTCTAAAAACAATATATATGATTTTCTAAACCAAAGAACGCATTGAGGTCCAGCTTGTGATAGACACTTGTTGAAAGTTGGTTGAATAAATAAATTGGTGACGCTCCCACTAGCATTCATATAAGGTTGTTGTTACATGTTATCATATGAACTTATAAGATATTATTCGGTACCACATTTCTTCATTGATTGTCAAATAACGTTCACTGTACCCTATTTTAATCGAGTGATGTATCTTGGGTTTCTCTTTTCTGTCGATAATCAGTTTTCAGATATTTATTCCAAACAGAGCCTAAAGCATTTTTTGCAACTTTATCGCATTTGGATTCACGAATAACTATGAACACCCAATTATCAACCAGAGTTTTTTAACTGTCTACCTCATCAAATTAAATGAAACCTACCTCAGTTTATATGCTTTTCATTATTGCATTTATGTGGTTTAAATGATGGCATTTTGTACGAAAAACTGGTTTGCTGCAGATTTTTTGAATTTTTCAAATTTTATTTACTAGCAACTGATTATTAACACATTCTTTGTATTGTATATTAAACCCAATACTTTCGCTAATTGAACACTAAACAATTTAGCATCTTGTGTTCATTTGTCTTCACGATCTCATGGAATGCCCAATTTCCTAATAATGTCTAAATCTTGTCCTCAATGCTTTTTAAAGATTCTATGATCTGACGAGTTGGTTGGTAATTATGTGACTGAAAATCTCTAAACTGCTTGATCTTTTTCCCTTAATTCCTTTTGGTGTGTTTTTATGAAAGAGTTTCAATATATGTGCTGTTACCGTCTTTTTATATATATGACGTAAATATTTGGTCAACGTAGTAGCGTTTATGTTCATGTCATTCGAAAAAGCACATATTAGACACACAGAAAAGCAAAGTGAGAGAAACAAGTTGTTTGAATTAACAGAGTACTGATTCGTATGTTGCTTATTAGAAAAATCAGTCCATGCTACGTTTATACCGCACTAAAATAGTGGGGGATACGAGTCAAAATAAACATGTTTGTCCAGAAGTAGACAAATGACCATGGTCTTCTTTTTCTACAGAAAGCGCTCTTCCACAGTCCTGGATAACGTTTAATAAAGATAACTGGGACATACTTCAATGGCTCTTTGAAACTTGAAAAAAGTCCTTTGCTGTTATTGGGGTCACATAACAGTGTTGAAGATTTCACAGGAAATCAAGTAAACAGATAATAAGAAGCATTTTTTCTATGTTGGAACTAGACAACGCCCAGTAATTACTTTAGACAACTGCAACCCGCATTGTTGAGACTGATCTTATAATCTCGAAAATTTATTCAGATTCATTTCTTGTGCAAAGCAAAACCTAGTACGGTTGTGCAACCACACAGGTTGTCATGCCAAATCAATATGATTGATCGTCCAAGTAGTGAAACTGATAACTTATATCCTGATTTAAGATATGACTCAAGGGAGTATTAGTTTGGTAGAGAATAAATGTATGCTAGTTTAGAAGCTTGAACATTAAGTGGAGGTGAATTATTAAAATATTCTATCCCAATAATCTTCTATAATCGTGTGTACAGTGAAAGTACAGTATTTTCACTTCAGTCAGTCACGATTCACAACCGATTTGTTTGCTCTGTGTATAAACTTATAATTAGACTTAGTGATGTACACTTGGTCGTTCCACGAAATGGGAGAAACCCAACCTAAAAATTTCGTAGTTTGAGAGATTTTGTTTCACAGCCTTAGAATAATGCAAAGTAGGTCACTGAAATATACCCAACTTTGTGAGGGACATCTCGTCTACACCACGAATGATGAAGGTTAGAAAATGGCTTAGAGGTTTTAAAGTTCGTGCCGGTAAGTTGAATATAGTATCTAGCAGGATGTCAAGGGGAAGATTTACTCTTCCTGATGAACGATCTAGGGCTAGCCTTTTGCGTATCTGATCCCGATGGCGTGACCATCTATCGCTTGGTATCTCTATTTCGTACATGACACGGCCCATTCTTCTGACCACTCGCGCTTCTGTCCATGGACAATGGGTTAGTCTGTAGTCACGGGCGAACATGGGACATCCCACTTCGTACGCCGACAGCCTTTCAGACTTTGTCTGTACTGGTGTTGGTGCATTAGTTGGATGCATCAGGCTGTGGGTTGTTTTCATTCTTCTTCACTTCAGGATTTCTACTGGGGAGTTTAGCTGTGGTTACATCTCATTTAGTGTTATTCGATAAACGGACAAGAAATTTTGCAACACCACATGCACTTTCTGACCAACTCTGTGATATGTTGATCCATTAGGGTCCAATATGCAGCTATGGATTTCATTCGTTTAACCCCTGAATGACCAAGGTGAAACTGTTTCAGCACTTTTGCTCGAAAGGATTCTGGTACCAACACACTCTCTCCAAACATCAAGCACCCGTTTACAATGCATAGTGAATCCCACCGCTGATACAGCTGCTTCATATCACCATCAAACCACTTAGACGGTCAACCGTTGGTCACAGTTCATCGTCAGGTGGATGATGGGGTCGTTCTTAGAAGCGGTCTGTATGTCTGTTGTAGACACTGGCAACGCCTGTATTTCGGTTGTCACCTAACATTCCGCGTGGTCTTCCGCTGACAGTGATGCGATTACCATGTCATCCCCAGCCGCCAAATGATCATTAATGAGTCGTGATAAAGCATTTGCTTGACTGAATTGTTGAGTGCGTCGGTATTGGATTCCGAAATCATGTCCCAAAATTACTAAGACCTATCGCTTGAGACGATTTGCGGAATGGGCTGGGATGCCAGACTTTGACCCGAATATTGCAAGCAGAGGCTTGTGATCTATGAGAAGCAAAAATATCCGAGCGTACAGAGACTTGCAGAAACACAAGGGCAAGAACCTAAATCTCTATCTGGCTCTATTTCTTTTCTTCCGGGGATAGTGTGCGGGATGTATGCATAACGGCTTTTTCTAACGCGTGTGGAAACTGATGTGAAATAATAGCACCTAGGCCATACGGTAAGCATCTGCAGCTACGATGATGGGTGTGGATGGATCGTAGTGCGTTAACAACAATCCCGCGCTAATTATAGACTTCAGCTCATAAAATGCCGCGTCACATTATTTAGTCCAGTTCCAAGTGCTGTTCCATTGCAGTAGACAGTGCAGTGGAGCGCGAATATCAAGTATTTAGGGAACGAACGCTGAATAATAAGTAATGAGTCCCATGAAGGAACGTAATGCAGAGATATTAGTGGGTATGGGCATCAGCTTGATAACTCGGATGTTTTCAGGATACGGTCTGCGGCCGTCGGCATCGAACGAAAAACGTTCCCACAATCAGCATAGTAAACAGATCCGCCGGAACTGGCAAGGGATAATAATGCTGTTGCAGAGCTGCATTGAGACCCGTAGA